AGGAGGCAACGATGGCGACGAAGATGTCGCGAGGGCGGGGGGGGGACACGCACAGATAGGATGCATAAGACAGCACGCAAGACAGTCTCTCGCTCCCTTTCGGGGACAAACCTTTAGTATTGGAATTCATCTGGGCAAGTAGACGCAGTTTCTCCCTGTGCTGACGACAGAAGCAGACAGCTACCAGGGCTAGCATCACCGTCAGCATGAAGCCCGCGAGGACACCGAGAATGAGGAACATTAAGGAGTTCGAGGAGGTAGAATTCATGTCGAAGAGTCTAGGTTTGGTGGGCGGCGTCTCGTCACTAGCCTGGGAGGGAGGATTCAAACCGATGACATTTGGCTCCGTCTGTCGGGCGCGGGGGATCATCGAGGAGGACAAAGAAAAAAAGAGAGATGGGACGGGGGTCAGTCTGGACTCATAAAGTCGAAATAATTAAACCACCGGGGAAGGGGGAAGGAACAGTGTGTTCTTAATGAATTTGTACTACGTGTCCGGGAATACGTGACTTTTTTCCAGACTATGCGCGTTTGCGTCCGAAAATGAGGAATCTTTTCAAGGACTACTAACTCCGAGGATAATACACACTGGAATATAATTTTGACCACAGTGGTTTCAAAAGCACTTAGATATGTAGTTTAAATCTACTTTCTTCTTCCGGTTGGCACATGGTGTCACAGTCAATCCCACCTACGAATACGTAGACGGAGCACGCGCGCACTCCGACTGGACGTAAGTAGACAGAGCAATTACCTCCCACCTCAAATCACTTTTTTGATGGTCAGCTTTGTGCCACACGAAGTATTTCTTTGGTCAAGCTCAATTCTGTCAGACCAGTTTCCCCTAATTTCCTACACTACACTACGCTCTTGGTCTAGGACCTGCAACGCAATTCGACTTCAATGCTGCCATTCTTTAGGTCCCCGCACTACATGCAGCAGATCTATTACCTGGTCACCGTCCCAGTGCTCAATGTGAATGCCACTTCGTCGGCATACTCATTCCCCTTAATCTCTCCTACCCCAGTAAGTAGACCGGATGTGGGTAATCTGTCAGTTGCTTTGTCGCCTTATCATGTGAGGACTGCATGGTCGAACACTTGACCATTTCAACCGCCCTCCTCCCCCCTGTCCTTCGCAGCACCTATATCCTCACTGCCTATCTCCGTCCGCCCAGCGGAGTGTTGTGCACTTCCTGCGTCTTGGTGTGCCCTTTTATCCGCCATTCGTCAACCATTTGGTGGCTCCAATAAACTGGTGTCTAAAA